CTTCGATTCCGCACTCCTGGACGCACGCCTCAGAGACTTGGACTTTTTTTTCACCATTCGAAAGGGCGATGCTCGGAGTTTCCCGCTACACGCAAGTGAGAGAGGGAATCCGGAGCTCCGCACTCCGATCGAAGATCAGAGACGCCGCCGCTTTTGCCAAGGTTTCGAAGATCAGGTGGGCCGGCACGTCATGAGGACGACCGCTGGACCAGAGCGATCACCGACTGGATTCCACGGGATGTCAAGCGAACGCCTGGACGACCGCCTATGCGATGGTCAGACTTCTTCGTGAAAGCTCTGAACGAATGGTATGAAGTTCATCGTGTCCCTCGAGCAGAGGGACTTACTGATGGTAATACTGATGGTGCAATACTGGTAGATGGGTATCCATCTCCCAGGCCCTCGATACGCTGGTAGACGCTGGCGAATGCTGGGAGACGCTGATGCACGCTGGTAGATGGCAGACGCCAGATCTCTATACTTTCCCTGTCGGTGAGGCTTCATGGTGCTTTTTTCGTAGCATTTAGATTGAAGTGAGCCTCTGGACGGCCTAACAAGGAATTTGCTACTTGCTGAGGGATGTGGTATTACCACATACCTTTTGACATCTAATGTCACGTAATCTCCTTGACGTCTCATCAGATCGATCACGAGGAGATGGGATTTGAGGATATCCGTCCACCGCACGCCAATTGCTTCATTTCGGTTCTATATTAGGTATTCTTTAAACAGATGGATTTGCCTCCTACGTCTATCTCTCGCCAATCCTGTCAAGAATGACTCGACTTGACTGATGAGTTTATTGACTATAGACATGGCCGAGAATTCAGTAAAAATTGGCGGAGTGGTTCAGGCCTCCTTCTCAAACCATAACTTGATCTCACTAGTTTCTCCACGAGGTGGTAGCCTCGCATCCCCAAAGGGAGTGAGTGAAGATTCGAGCCAGCATTCACACAGGAAAAGAGTAAAGAGATCAGCTGATGTTCCGATGGTAAGTGGTGAAAGGTTTCTCCGATGTCCTGTAGCAATTCCATCTGCAGCAGGTGCTGTACAATGCCTGATGGAGCTCGGTACTGAAGGCACAACATATCCATTTTGCTTAGGATATGCACACTTCTAGGTGGAAGTAGTTATCAAATAAGCTGAGGTAAAAAACGTGCATGATATTCTTTCTCGCCCTATGGGACCCAGTGATCGCTCAGTCTGCATGGTTGTTCCGTGAGAGGACATTCGATCGTGTAGTTGGCAAAGTTTCGCGAGTACTGCGGAAACTCTATTCAGCCTCACTCTTCGGCGAGAACTGCTGCTCTCCTTTCCTGAACACGTTCTTTTATCACTTCTTCACGAAATTTCGCGACCTCGTAATTAGCTAGGATTAACCTGCAACTAGTGCGACTCCGCATTAGCGTGCCTTACCGTGGAGTTGTTTGCCGCACTTTTCGTCGGTAAATTCGATGACGAATCCTCCCACAGATCGGCAAGAGAAGCAATAAAAGTGAAGTGCTCCCGGTTAGTGAATGTTCAGAGGTAACTTGTTCAGCTTCGTCCACTTTGCCTCGTGAAGGGAACCTTACAAACCTTACACGAGATCGTTCCCGGTCCTCTTGAAAAAATGTGCAACGAAGGCGGAGATCGAGAAATTTCGTCGGATAATCTTTCAGGCGATCTTCTTATGAATTTCTTCACCAGAAATCCTGAGTTGAATGTGAAGAGTAGCCTCCCTGTTATTGCAAGGTGGATGATTTTAGTAGATATAGTGATCTCAAATATCCTCTCACCCAGCTCATGACATTTCACAACTCCCGGAGTTCTTTGTCTGTTTCTCTTCTCGGGGAGAGAGGAGGGCAAATACTGGCGCCAGTAATGGCAGGAGGAGGCCTCGCGATGCCGTATAGTTCGCTTAGCTTGATGCAGGTTCGTAGGCGACGAAGAATGTGGAAGTGTAGTCCGTCTGTGTCCATCGCATAGTTCCACTCCTCGTCAAACATTCTACTGAATCGACTTTCGCGCTGAAGTTGGTCTTGACTACTACCACATAGAGCATACAGTAGGATATCGCTAAAGCTTCGCATTTCGCGGGACGTGGTTTTTCTCCAGTCTAGAGAAGGCTAGCTGTGACCTACTTTTTCGTCTCGGTTATAAAGATGGCGTCTCTTATATTTGGATTCAGAATATCACCCTTTGAACTATAGGCTTCGTTTACACAGCCTTCGTTGGCTCTGAGATTCCAGCAATCTTTCCTGAGCAGCCCTTCCGCAATGGATCTCTCCCAGATTTCGTGGAAAAAGACCTGTTTCTATTACTGTTTATGGCTTATACGGTAGCCCTGAAAAGCCTGCTGATATGTAAGATGAAGCCTAGTGAGGGTAGTAAGACTTGAGCTCTTTGTCTCATCCTGGAGAAAGTACTTACAAGGGAATGGTTTGAACTTCCCATGGAACTTTGAATGGAGACCTAGGTACATCGATAGAGCCTCGAATGCTGATTACGAATATGCAGATTAAAAGTGCTACGGGGACCTCCCAGACGAGTTCTGGGTGGTCAAAGTTTGCGAAATCGGTTTTGTCTCGTAAGCGCTGCTGATCGCTCATTGGCCAGTGTCACCGTGGCCTAGTGGTAGTGGTCTCGCTTCAAAGCCAAATTCTCGTGGGTTTGCATCCCGTTGGCGTGAAAACTTTTGCTTCGTCTCCTATAAGAGCTTTCACTCTAATTTTCGAAATTGCTCCGAGTTTACGGCTAAGCAGATCAAGACGTTCTAGTATGGATCTGATCGCTATCTGCCCTCTCTGAACTCATTACCCATCCGACAATTCGAAGTTTTGGCCACAATCACAATTTGGCCAAAAACTCGTTCCTGGGGGTATTTTGACCCCCTGAAAACGAATATCATATTCGTTTGGCGAGAAAACGCTTGTAGCCTTTCACGTTGTTGTGGTCATCAACTGAACGAGGGAACCGATCGTTTTCTCGCCAAACGAATATGATATTCGTTTTCAGGGGGTCAAAATACCCCCAGGAACGAGTTTTTGGCCAAATTGTGATTGTGGCCAAAACTTCGAATTGTCGGTAATGAGTTCAGAGAGGACAGATAGCGATCAAATCCATACTTGATCGAGTACGTCAATACTTGATCTACTTGATCTACTTGCTCTGCTGGGCCGTAAACTCGGAGCAATTTCGAAAATTAGAGTGAAAGCTCTTATAGGGACGAAGCAAAAGTTTTCACGCCAACGGGATGCAAACCCACGAGAATTTGGCTTTGGAGCGAGACCTTTACCACTAGGCCACGGTGACACTGGCCAGTGGGCGATCAGAGACAAAACCGGGATTTCGCAAACTTTGACCGCCCAGAACTCGTCTGGGAGGTCCCCGTAGCACTTTTAATCTGCATATTCGTAATCAGCATTCGAGATATCGATGTACCTAGGTCTCCATTCAAAGTTCCATGGGAAGTTCAAACCATCCCCTTATTAGACCGTGTTTCCTGAGGGTATGGCTTTGAGTGCACTACGTGCACTACTTTATTGTATTCTTCGGGCAAAACAGCTACGAGCACTTTCCCCCTCTAAACAGTCTATTTACTTTGACGATGCACCATTGGCTTGAGAAACGCGCTAACGGCGGCGAACAGCTGGGAAGCATCTAGCTCTTCCATGCCTTCCGCAGAAGTGTCTTTAACGAACCAAGTTCTCATTGAGGGTCCCAGACAGAGAAATCAGATGGGCTGATATCAGGCGAACCCTGGAGCCGTCGAGCAGAAGCAATGAAATTTAGGAAGCTCTGCACCTCTCCTGGATCATCTTAGGTTCCCGGGCAGAAGAAACTGGTGTTGAAAACCTTCTTCGCAAAATTTTGGGCGAGTCGTTTTCAAAATGTCCAAATTCGTAAGTGCTCGCCTCTAACCACCCCGAGCAGCAAACATGAGCTGTGGTTTCGGTGATTTTCGAAGTGTTCGTCCGTTGAAAATCATCAAACGCCCTATATATCAGGTTGTTTGGAAAGAAATGCGCGTTGAATTTGTCCATTTATTTCTCTCCTACTATAGAAGATTTTTCAAAACAGTTTTGTCTATTAGGAAGAGATTTTTATTGTGCATCTTTTGATATATTTTTGTCTATGTCTACTTTGTTTGTTCTGGAAAAAAACTTACTTCTTCTCTCTTCTTACTGCGTCGTCGAAGTGTTGAAACGACGTCGACAAAACGAGTTCGAGTTCTTCGAAAGAGGAATCCATTCTTTGCATAAACGTTGGCAACAAGTCATTGATAGTAATGGAGATTATCTTTTGAATTAATCTTGTTTAATTTCGTTTTATAATAAAAAATTTTTTAAACTCAAACGCGCATTCTTTCCGAACAACCTAATAGTTACCTGTACGAGTGACATAATATTCGGCCATGGTCCTCTGCAAAAACGATCCCGCTGTTTGTCAAAGAATTGTTCGGCAGTGGAACGGAACCTTACCAGTTCCGTTTTCGATGATTTCTTCTATTATTGAAATTTTGGTAGAGAACAATGCGCGATTGTAGATCTGGAGTATACAACAAAAAAAAACAAATCTGTTCAAGAAAACCAATTCTTCGTGATTTCAGGTTGACAATGACCCTCATCAGAAAGGTAAAAGAGAAATTATATTGTCAGTTGTATGTGAGTGTCCTCCTAACGAACTTTCACGCATACAAAATTGTGACGAAAAAGAAGATGAGGCGCAAGGAAAAAAAGGATACGAGAAGAAGGTGCGGGGCAAGGTAAGCCAAAGTACATCCACGCGAATCAGGCTGCTTTCGTAAAGATAGAACCTGTTCCATGGGAAGGACTGTTCAGTTCAAAAAGTCTGATACAGGCACCATTTTTAGCTCAAAAACGTTATCGTGAGGAGAAAGAACGGCAAGTACTTGGTTGAGGTAGCGCGGTTATTTGAGTCAATTCCACAACTCATAAAACACTACCAAGAGACACCAGGAAAACTGAACAAGGTAACACTAAGCACGTTATCACGCTGTCTATCCCCCATAATTATGGAATACATTTCAGATTTCGTTTATTTTAAAATACCCAATAAAGCAACAGCCATGGGAATACCACCACAGTGACGTACAACAAGGGAAACTGTTGGGTGAAGGAGCGTTTGGAGAGGTCCGAGCTGGAACCTTGAAACTGAAATCTGGACGTACGGTAGAAGTGGCCATAAAAGTTGTAAGTATTTGAGCAGCAGAGATCGTCGCCCTTCTACTGGCAGAGTAGATGACGTTTTACTTGTAAACATATGGTTACAGACTAAAGGGTGCTCCGATATAGGGAAAGCAAAGATCAAAGAAATGATGAAGGAGGCACGACTGATGAGAAATTTCAGGGTACGTGATTACGCACGCATTCACTACTTCTGAAGTCATGCTTATTAACGATTGTTGCAGCACAAGAACGTTGTCCGGATTTATGGAGTTGCTGTAGACGAGCAGCCGTTATATATTATTCTTGAACTTGTAAAAGGTACGTGGAAGGTCTATTGAAGCTGAAGTGATCGCAAACCATTGCTCTATATTTCTACTGATAAGTATAGCCATTTCATGACGCGGCTCGGAAAGCATCAGCCCTAGTAGTTCTCCACTCATAGGCTAATACTCAAGTCAACTCACCAGCAGTCGCCTCTGATCTGCGGTTCTTCCGGGGCATATACCGCTTTTTGCTTCCTTCATCATGCCTGACATCTAATCCTGTCGTCGGCCCGCTCTCTTTCCTAGCATCGGCGTCTGAATGGAGATGGATCCACACTCTGCAGAGGACTAATAGAGCGCTTGTCTTCGCTATTGTATGGTGTTGCCACGCAGGTGCGTTGTACTATCCCCCCCCTTGCAGCGTGAGCCTTACTAACCATTGTGGGTGCTAAGGTCACATACTTGATGTCAACCCGTATACATGTGTCCATGCCACGCGCCCTGCCTAAGTATGACGGCTCGCAACTCGAATCTGCAGCTGACATACCGAAACGACTATAATGACTATACACAGGAAATAAAATAGCAGACCAATACTATTGGTCGGCAATATACAGAAGTAATTAGCTGATTAACTACGTCTGATAACAAATGAAGAGTGAATAATTATGAAGAAATATACTATTTAGGAGGAGGTAAGAACGGCCCCAACCTATGAGGACGAACACATGCCTCGCTTTTAACCCATTCGTGACAATGTCCGCCACTGGTGGTGGACACCGAAATGTCCACTTCGGACCATGTCCACCATATGCGGCGGACGGGTTTTTGATGAAATTTTTAGGAACAGTTCGAGCTCTTCAAAGAACTTTTGTCACGTCGGCTAAAAGCTCTTCATACCTTTCGTGAATTCTATGCACAATAGCTGGACAACGCAGATTTCAGATTAACTGCGTCCCTAGGCGACCGATGTCAACTAGCAGCACCTGGGCGCCTAAAACCTCTACAAAAATTTTCGTTGAAAAATTGCTGGTAGGGGTTACTCAGTGCCCCAATCACGAAAGTGACGTCCGTTTCTGGCGCCGGCGGTGTTTGACGCCGTTTAGCGCATTCAGGCCCCAATTTGGCCGTACCACTTTTTTCATCAAAACCGGGGCGCCAGAATGGTGCCGCGCCAACTCACCACTACCTTTTTCACCAAACTTCAGGAAAAGTTAGATACTAGGGCCTTTTGTTGGTCTGGTCACAAATACGACTTTCACTACAGGTCCCAGCGGCCTACTGGCACCAATGGGCGCCAACTTGGTGCTATCACCTCTCCCACGCAAATTGATGGGTGTGGATACGAGGGTTACTCGCTGTCCTTATTATTGATATGCATTCATTTTTAGCAGGAACATTAGCGTAGGGCATATCAGTGCGATGCTGATGCTGAGCTTGCCTCGAGGAGCAGGTCCCGGCCGATGACACTTGAAAATGCAGGAAGGACGTCAATGCGAAGGCACCGTGGTCCACAGGTACAAAATTCTACGCAGTTTTACAAGCCTAAAGTTGTAAGGTGTGTAGAAGTAATACAGGCAAAATATGCTCCAGGGTTACCCGGTTCCATCGTGACTTTGCTACAGACCCCAGACCTTCAAGCTTACCTTTCAGCCGCATAGGCGACGCTACTGAACAAAGTAGACGAAATGGAATACCACGTTAGTTCTTCCTGTGTGGTTCATAGGGTTCATTAACAAGGATGTCTTGGAAACACAGCCTAACTGAACGACCCAGCACACCGCGTTTTTTCGGCATCTCGCCTCGTGCAATTATTTCGATGCATAGCGGGCCTCTTAATCGGCCGTTCCCTTGCGGCCTTTTTCGCCCTCAACCAGGACGAGTCACGCAGCAGCTTCCCCTCCACATTTCGCCGCCAACACTGACGCTCCTTATCGCGGACCCAGTCTTCAAAGAGGGATAATCACTCCTCCTCGAAGCTACAGCCTTTCCAGGGCCTACATGGCACTCATGTGTAGAGCTCTTGCAAAGATAACGTGCTTTGAAAGGCCGCAGTCAGTTGTCTTGAGTCGGCTCGACCTGTCTGAACACGCAGTACCACTCGCTTGGCTCAAAACCTCCTTCCAGTAGGTTTTCGAGCCACCTCCATATGTTAAATCACCTCAGTAAACGGGTTACACGGGTTTTTTTCGAGAGAAAGACTAAGCAATGAATTAGCGCACATTGGCCCCAAATGGCACCGGAGGACAGACGATTGTCATTTTTGTGACCTGAGGAATAACCCCTGCACTTGATGGTTCAGTAAGAAAGGAGATTCCGAGGAGCACACCGGGTGAACGGTGCTAAAATTTTCAGAAGGGGGTCCGAGGGACCTTGTCCAACCACTGTGCGACACTTGCAGATTGAGCTCGCAAATGCTCCGGTCCGAACGAGCCGATTTTCAAAAACACGCCTGGTCGCGAATGGGTTAAGGGCACGAGGCGACAGCCAATGAGACACACTGGAAGCACCCTCCCCTCCGGCTATCCAGGAGGTTCGGATGCACCGCCGCTGCTAATAGTTATTTGGGACTTTCGGAGGGCCCTACGTTGATCTAGCTTCATCGCGTTGCATGTGAGCAGCAGACAGCACTGATGGACGACGACGTTGACACAATGGGCAAATAGCGGAGCGAAGCAGCCAGTCAGGGCAGCAGCATAACGTACATTAAAGGGCGTCTAGAATCGTGGCCGCTTCTGCGTCCCTAGCGGCATCTCGAACCTTTTCTACGGTATGCGCGCCAGGACTGCAGCGCCTACCACAAATGCGAGCCCTTGCGTAGTATCCAAATCACGCAGCAGTGTAGGCCCCGCTCCATTGGGTAGCTGCCTTTTGCACATTTTGATTTTGCCGAGCCGAATCCCGTGTCAGCCGAATCAGCCGACCCAGGCCAGTCAGTCGACCTAACACTGCCACTGCCGTTACCACTGGCCACAACCGCACCGCAACCAGGAGGACCGTAATCTACTAACCAGCAGTTGCTGTCACTTCTTGTCACCTATCATACATGTTCCCGCTCCACCACCTCTCTCACTTATAAATTTGAACACTCTCCACTAAGCTGAAATTAAGACCATGTCAGCCTATTTCAGAGTCACGCGGTGTTCTAGAGAGTTAAGGCAGAAAGCCAATCCCGATTGTAGTATTGAAGAGATCCTTAGAGTATGCGCAAATCTTACTGAATAATGTGAGAGATTGGCCAGAACATGTGCAATTACTGAGTTTGCTGTCGGCGATTACTAGATCGCGAACAGTGTATGGAGCGCAGTGAGGAGACGTCTAAATAAGGACTTCAGTGAAGATGCACATGGAAGCTAAGACGAAAAGGTCGGAAAAATGTTTGATATGCAGTGTATTACAAGAGCATCTCCAATACTGTGGAGACAACGTGCCTTCTAGTCACCTGCTATTCTATTATGGATGTTGAATATCAAGCGGTTCCTTGTGCTGGGTTCAACATGATAATCACTGTTCGAATGTCAAAGAACCCCTCCACACTAGTCAAGAAGTTTTGGAAAGCCAAACTTTGAGATCTCCCCATGCTCAGTGCAAGTTCTGAGAAACAGCTGTTCTGTCGTCTTGTAAAACGTGCGTAAAGTGCGCTCTGTACCCCATCCGAGAGATCTTAAAGACACATTCCATAATAGCGTGTCGCGAGTAGTAAGGTTCAAGATAGATAGAAAGTATGCAATATCAACCTGCTCAAATAAGAAATAGAAAACCGTCAAAAGTCTCTAAAGTTCAACTACCACTTATTTTTGTTGAAAGTTCATTACTTTACCGAATTGTTTGGTTCCACACAAATGCTGACTCATGTAACTGATATGTTTCTGTTGAACAGGTGGAGCGTTAAACACTTTCTTGAAAGAGAATGCAAACAAGGTGGAAGTGAAGGAAAAATTGGACATGTGCCTTGGAGCGGCTTTAGGTGTTGAATATCTGCACAATAATCAGTGCATGCATCGGGATCTGGCAGCACGAAACTGTTTGATAACTCACGACCGAGTAGTGAGCAAACTTTTCTTTTGGATACATGCTATTTGGCTCACTTCGAAAATTTGAAACTTGAACATTAAAGGCACAGTACGCGATTGCAGGCAGTGGGCAGCGAGATTCGGAAACCAAGTGATACGTCTCCGTTGGATTGCTAGTGAGGAAAAAAAACCGTAGACAACGTCCTGAATGAGAATCCTGATGGTCCTAAGCATAATACGAGCACATGGCGCCCACAATAAAAAGAAGCTACGGTACGAGGGTACCTAGACAGTGCATGGAAGGAGAAAAAACTAACCAGTTGCGCACGCGGCGAGTGCCGAGCGATCTCGCTGTGATGGTGCTGCAGAGGACTGCACAACAAAAAGCGCTGCCACCACTGCGATTTGATAGATTTGCTCTTGATCAGCCAGTGTTCGCCTCCAGCTGGTAGCGTCAAAACGCGCAGATACAAAAGAGTTAGTAGTTACTAAGGAATCAACATATCTCCTAATGAATGTTCCGCCTATTCTCGAAATATGCTATTCAGCTGCCTTTCACGTCCTAGTGCTGTTGATCAGCCACCATTCGATACTTTCTACCTTCCCTTTGTCCTAATATTTTTACCATTCATCGACAAAGTGTCAGGAAGATCATTTTTTTTACCCAAGATTGCAGAAGTACAGCGCTCGCTTTTGTTTAAAGGCAGCGCCCGCGTTCAAATTTAATGAGTATGCGGCTCAGGTAGTAACAGCGAGGTAGCAAGAAGCCTATTAGTGAAGAAAAATCGAAGAGAAAACACGCAAAATGCCCTAGAAGGAGTTTCATACCGAACAACGGTTGTACGTGCTTAAGGCGAAGAGAAGGAGTGATTGCACGAGTTTCCACTTGTTCATATCAGCTGTTTTCCCTTATCACCTCACTCTCACCACTCCACGTGGAGAGAAGCAGCAATGGAACAACCGCACCATCAGGCAACCATTAGAAATGAAGTTGGGTGGCGTGGTCGGCAGGTGGGCGGAGCCGTCGGCTCTTTGCGGGCGGACGCCGCTGTTCCGTCGCATTTTTGGGTTGCGAAACATGCACGTCCACCATCCTCATAGGGGGAGCTACTAGATCCAGAGAGGGCGTGAGAACAACAAATGAACGCGGGCGCTGCCTTCAATTTTTACTGCGTTATCGCTGCGACGACAGTAGGGCGAGACGCATGCGCTCGTTGTGAGCTTTTTTTTCACAGGATTACCTGGATGAGCGAGACCGTATCACCATTTGGTGACTACGAGTTGAAAGGAAAAAGAAGACCGACCTCCGTGAAGGAGCCTAACCTCGTGGCGGGCCTCTCATAAACTATTAGGTTGATTAAAAGTTTT